AGTCTTACCCACTGACAAATCCCGTCTTCCTACCAAACTTAATACTGGAGGGGAAGTATATTTATATCCCTGTATTTTTATTGGTGTATCCTATTGACGAACCACATAGGTGATTAAAACCACATTGGTTTCTGTGTAAAAATTGTCACATATACTTGAAATCAATGTGGCCCTCTATCGCTTGAAAGTGTACGAAGAAAACAGGGAAGCTATCTTCGGAAGCGGCAGGAAACCCGTCCATTCTTTCACTAGATGACGGAGCTCAGAAGGACCGCTCACTCGATTTATAGGTCGAACTGGCGAGCAACCCGACAAAGTGAGTAATGAGAAGGCGCTCAGCGGGATACCGGTAGGGGATGTGAGCTGAATATGCAAGAAAACTTTAATAAGCAAAGTTCGACCAGATTCCCTGATACTTCGTCCCAAAACTGACAAACTCGTCTACGAATTTCATCCTTTGCTAAGATCTCACACGCCGCTGCCTCCACGTTTTGATAGCGGACATTCATTGAACTTTTCTGTTTATTCGCCGCTCTCTCGAGGCACTTCCCATCTGATCATCTTTTCTGAGTGCGAATGTTCGAGTACAATAAGGACAGAGGTGCAACGGTCTACCCACAAGCCATCGGAACCACTGCCTTCGATGAAGCAGGCAAGCCGTATTCAGTCGATACGTTGCATCAGATTATGTTCGTTTATTAAAGATTTCATCAGCAAGCATGCAACGATTACGGCCACGTGGTCTTCGCCATAGATTACAATGGGATTACACGAAATAAGTGATAAGAACACAAACTTCGGGGTTCGAGACCCATATTATCATTTTTTCAGCATGTCTGAAGCTAGCAAACCAACTTGTCTGGGAGATGGTGGTCACAGCATGGGCAAAGCTTTTGTGTCGCCAAATTGTGCCAGGGTAGTTCTGATGTAAGAGGGATCGTCCACGAGGGTGGTATTGGATAATCTGGGTTAATTTGGTGTTTGAGATGTCACTCACCTCTCTTACCCGCAACCCACTGCTCCTTCCAATCCCTCTCCTGTGATTATCTCCCTGTACGCATGGAGGGGATAGGAGGGAGGACGAAGGAGGACGTCGGATTGCATGCAACTTTGGGAACAATTTATGTGATCATCTGTGGACGAAGAAAACCGGAAACCCCGAAAAAATGTCCCATAACCCCTTGGATAGTCTCGTATATCTCGCCCACCACTGCACCCAGACGGTGAAAGGTATAGTAGTCAACAATCATTGAAAAACAGTTATTCTACACCATGGTTCTTCTTGACATAATTCACACGCGACTGAATTTCTGAGAGGTCAGTCATCATACTCCTACGCATGGAGTAACAGGGCTGTTTAGCTGTTACTTTGTACCAAACAACTCTATCCCTCCAACACGAGGAAGAAATGGGCAGCACCTTTCAGAGGCGAGCACTGGAAAACCTTATCCGGGAAGATAGCCCTCATTCTCGTGTCAGAGACTCTCCTGTACATTGGGAGCCCACAACTTACCTTGGAAGTTCTTCCCCATCCTCAATCATCCTAGAAGACTCTGTTTAAGCGTTTAGAAGTAGAATTGATCACGATGATCTGGAGATTTCACAGAACTGTGATATCGCGGGATTCCCAACTTAGTTCTGCCCTTAGGTAAGAAAAGCTCAGTAGATCTCTTCACGACATAGCTGAAAAGGCACAGCTCAAAGCTTCCCAAGTAATCCTGGGATTTTAGGATTCATAGCGCTCGAACTGGAGATGCTAACTTGAGTTAGGCGCTTATAAAGCGTGAAGGCAACCTACTACTCGAAGAGATCAGTACTGTGCGGCCTGCCGCAGGAGGAGCTTAATGGGATCATCCGTGAATACCTCATTACTGAGGGATTGAGCCGGAATGAGCTATCTCCTCACCCATGCCTCAGAGCCACTGTACCCGTTGAGGCCCACCATGTCTTCCGAACCCTCTACCCGCTTCTTCTTCTTCTTGAACTTCTAACCACCTCTCCATAAAACTCAGTTTTGACTTTTTGTGCGCTACTTGCCACTAGAGTGCAGTAACCCATCATCAGTACCCATAACAAAACCCACACTTGTCGCCCATTCTACCAGTTTCTGGTAGTCTGCGGGATACTTAATCAGTAATCCCCAATCAGTATGCTCCCCATACCTCGTTGATAAGAAAATTTCGGGTTCAATCATTGATCTGATTCACTCGCTAAAGGTTAGTATACAAAAGATTACGATGATGTTCCATTGCTCGAAAACACAATCTTTCATCTAATCGGCTTGACTTTTAGTAATAGCTAAAATGCAAATCAGTTTTCTGATGCTTGGGAGGTGTCAAGGGGAGGAGACGAAAGGATTGTGGAAGATGGGGTGGGAGGCGGAGTCTCGTCTTTGAGCCATTTTTCTCAATGTTAAATTCAATTGCTTAATGGCTCACCATACGATATTGTTCACTACTGCTTCTCCTTCTGCAACTTTTACTAAAACAAAGCTTCATACAACTACATCCTTCCCTATTGCCCTTTTGGTGGCTCCTATTACGAAGTAGGACCATAGGTAGGACTATAATGCGGGGTCAGTAATCACCTGCCGGCCGGGGACCATTTTTCTTTACCTTGCAAGGACTCTGACTCAGCCAAACCTCTACCCATGTAAGACAGTCGTTCAGTTGTTTTTCATACGGACCCATAAAAAGCTTTGAATTTGGGGGCGCGCCTACACGAATGCGATTTTCTATAAATAACCTACCGTATCTGTGTGACAACTGCGTAACCCCTGTTATCTCTATTGCTACGGGAATTGACGCATTCTATTATCTATAGTAAGGCGAATATTCGGCGCCGATTTCTACCAGCTCACTATTTTTTCTTATACCATTCGCAGAGCCTAAGACAATTTCAACATCGTCTACTCGAAGTTCGGGTGCAAATGCGATGGTGCAACCTCTGCTCTGCCCAAAACTGGGGCCTCTCCATGTCCTTCACGCCTTACGGATTCTATTCAGCTGCTCCTAGAAATCTGTGTTAAGAAGTAATCAAGTAATTGAGGTGGGCGCTTATAAAGGTCTATATGCCGCTTCTCCCATAGCAAGCACCCATGCCCCCCCCCCCCCCCCCCCCCCCCCCCCCCCCCCCCCCCCCCCCNGTTTTTCGAAGGTTATAGCCACTTTAATTTTGTTACAAAAAACGGGAACCTGAGGGATTTGAGCTTCCTCCTTTACCATAAGGGTTAGGTAACTTAGGTCAACAAAAACAATGACCTTTACTCTCTCCCTACGTCCAATTTGGGAGCAACTTGGTTTACTATGAATACAGGATTCGCGCTTAGAAGCAGCTCTTCTGCTCGGTGCAATTTTTCTCTACTTTCAAAAATGTTTGCAAACTCCTCGAAGAAAAAAAAAACCTATCCAAGCTCCGCCCACTTCAGAACTGATAATGATTGCTCAAATAGCGATACGGGACCAAACGTTAGTCGTGTCATCAACTATTCTCCAAAGCGGGAAGCACCGGAAGATGCCCCAATTTCACTTTCATTCAAAACATTTTTTAGGCATTGTAAAGTTCTTCTTCTACAAACTGGAATGATCTCAATTACTGATTGCTTGACGGGTTCTCCCTAGACAATGGCGTTTATTGCTAAATCCTACTTACAACAGTTTCTCTCATTGTTTAGATTCGTCTGTCCTCCGAAGTCATAAAGTGGCTTTTCTTGGATTCATGGGAGCTCTACTGAACCTAAATAAATACCGTTGTGTTCTTTGCTTTCTCCAGTCTGCAGAGATTCAAGAAAGTTCAATAAATAAATAAGTAAATAAGTGAGCAAATCAGAACAAACGAAGCCTTAGATGTGATTAATAGTCGGCAATAGTCAACCATACTTAGTTGTAATTAATAATCGGAAAAGATTTTCTCGAGGCAGAGCTGTAGGTGTAGGAAAGAGCTCCGCTACTTTTCAAATAGAGCTGAGCTCCGGTTCTCCATGAAGATCAACTCCAACGCATCATTTCTCCTGAGCCTCTGTCATTTATTACACCCTCATCACAGATTAGCTTGTCCTCCCACTTTCAAAATTTGCTAATCCTCGATTTTATAGTGTTTGCTATGGCGTCATACCTTAAATGATTAATTCGCATTAGTAATAAGGCTGGTACGGGAGCTATGGATTGTAGTCGGATTAGGCTCTTAAGCTTTCTCCAACTAATAGTCACTTCTGGAAATTGTCATCGTGGAAGAGCTAGTAGTAAGGAGAACCATTGCTGCCCGTGTGTGCGCCATGCCCACCGGTTTCGTCTCGGGCTCGACGAACCTTCTCAGCAACGCTCTTAATAACCAATTGTTGCTGCTAGACCGACCTTTATAGCGGTTTTTACAATTTCGATTCCCTTTTGAGCTACTATCACAACTCTCTCCGACTCTCGAGAATATTAGTTCTCAGTGCCGCCTAGTACTTCTGAATCTTCCACGACATCGGTCAGGAATTTCTTGGTAGAAAAAGCCTTCGCATTCTTCAGAGATTAACTGGTAGAAAGAACGTTAGTCATCAATTTTATCAAATTTCAGGAAGCCTATGAAAAGTGCATATTTCAGAGGGGATTAGAGCTTTTCATCAGTGATAACTGTATTGACGTCATTCCTTTTTTCTGTCTGCAAAAGAAGTTGCGTGACCAAAACCAGTGCAAAGTAAGAATCGTATAAAATCGCCTAGTGTGAATGGGAATTATTCATGAGGGCAGCCTTCATGACGCTGTGCTTCGCGGGTTCACGTGAAATTTGCCATTCACCTCCCACTCATCTCCACTTTTGATAACATTCCATTCCACAGTCTGCTGCAATCAGAAAGGACAACATTCCTTTTCCAGTTCTTTCTGTACCGACAACCGCAGTGAACTCCAATTGACTCAAAAAACTTCAGCAACTCATCACGAAGTTGGCGATATCCCTGAATTTTGGACCAACTGTGCTCGATAACATGATTTCTGACCAATCACTGCTAAGCTGGCATGGGCGGAGCGATCAACATCCGCGATCGCTCCGCCCACCGACGGACGAATCCGATTGTATCACTGATCGCATCCGTTTCGTGTATTTTATGACCGTGAAGCTCCTCCTTTTCGTTATTTCTTCTTTCCCACTAAATCTCCTTCCTTTCAGATGAGCTCCTTTGCTCTCTGTGTACTGCTTGCAACAATGGCGCTCTCGTTGGCCGATTGTGGTTGTGGAGCCAAATGTGCCATCTATACTGATCCTGCTAAATGTACTCGATGCTGTACGGCTACTGTCAAACGAAGTCTATCCTCCTCCTCGATTTCACGCCGTTCTCATAGATTCCTTCTGCCTCAAATGGTGGGCAATCCTATTCGTGTACCAATGTGGTTAGCTGCTGCCGCTTATTCTTACTCGCCTTCATCGTCATCATCAAAAACGCATCCGTTGTCGGTTATACCGCGTCATCGACGCCATCGACGTACTTCGCGACGTCTACTTGACCGAATCCTCACTGAAGCCATCGAACGAAACATCTAGAAGCTCGATAAATGTGCATTACTGTTGGAAATGATCTGTTCAACTGGAATTTCGACTGCATAAGCGACAGATAGGACAGTTTGCCAATCGGGGGCAACTGTCCTCGCTTCGCTACCGTACCGTACAGTTGAACAGATCATAATCGATTGATCCCTAGGCACCTATTTATTGATTTCTCGTTCACACAGTGTATCTTAATTGATATGTGCGGGTTTTGTTGAGAATTTCAAAGTGTTCTGCTGGTACCGTACTCATATCTTGTCGTACACTTTTTCTTACATTGAACTGCCAGTAGCCAATATTTGGTGTTATGCTAGTCTGTTCATTATTTTTCATAGATATTAATAATGATGACTCATCAAGTGTTATTTTTGTCGATGATCTTCAACTGGGCATAATGATTTTTATTCAATTTTGTGTCAAGAAAATGAGCAAAACTTTGCTCTTTTGATAAAGCTTTTCTAATCTACAGTAAGCATACCATGAAAACGGCAAAGTGATACAAGAGTTACGGTATCCCAAGAGATCAGAAAAAAGAATTATAAAATTTCGCACAGTAGAAAAAACCCGGGAATACAAAAAACCATCACTTATGACCTCATGGCCCAAAGGTCAGTGCTGGGTTCACTGGAAATCAGGACATAGTTCACTCTGTCTAGATAGTTTATCGTGGACGGAGGTTGGTACATTTATCGAAACTTGGAAGCTCAGGAGATCCTGTTTGGACCTGGGATTCAGCATGAAAAAGAATTTTCTTTCAAAGGAAAAGCTCTAACACACCGTTCCAAGCCAGAACCTCAAGCATACGCTTTTCAGAGGATTCTCATATCATCTAGTCATGCCCCTCAAAGACAGCCACGGCGACTTCCATTCTTTTCGGAACCCCACACTCCCTACATCTCAGGTAGGCGGAACAAAAGTATTAACAAATGCATATTTCACCGGCCTTGGACATCACTCCTCTGGGATCCCCATTTCTTAATTTACAGACATGTTGTCCCGAGCTGATAGGAGTTAGGATAGCCGATCCTATCCGTTTGCTCCCGGCCTTTCAGTATAGACAGGGTTAGACCTCAATGTGAGAGGGTGAATCAGGCAAGCTGAAAGGGACCTTGCTGAAGTGGTGTATCCACAATTAGGAGATGGTCGAGGAACTGGAAACCTACGGTGTACCATTAATGTGCTATGGGCACAGACGAGGTCCTGTAGGGCTGGATATAGAGTTGATCTCTACCGACTTCTAGGTTATTAGAGTACGTCTTGGGCAAGAATTGGTAACGGTAACGAGGTACAAAAAGGAGGGACCATATAAAGAGCACAATTTTACCATATTTTCAGTTGAAAGAGACCCGAAGCAAAGGAACATCGAATGTTAAGCCCCTACTCATCCAACTGTATACATCTGATGAGATTATTAGGCTAAGAGCATGCGATACAGAATGAGATTAACAAAAGTGGAACAATTCGTTACAAAAAAAGTAGAAACAAAATGACCTGCGAGGCAAACCGTACATTTAATGTTCACTGGGTGACATGCGATAAATTATTGTGAAAATTTAAACATAAAAATGGCGATCGGGATCTAATCAATCAATAAATCTGGATGTTTGCATCCCATAATTTGATCGTACAAAGTGCTAGTAAAACGAAGAAGATGATGGGCGAGCCGAGTCACGAATACTAGAGGTATCAGTTTGCCATTGATTACTGTACCAACCACCTGCAGACGGAGATCATGTTTCGCTTTACTATTCAGTAACAGTATGAACTGCATATACGCCTCTTTCGGATGGAAAAGAACAGCAACTGGTGCTACCGCAGTTAGAAGTGAACTTGGGAGGCACCGCACTGAAAGGTATCTGAGATGGAGATCACCTTCCTCCCCTCTTTTTCCCACCAAATCGGGAATTCTCCGTCTTCCAGTTTGGATTCATCGAACCGATGCTAGACTCGCTCGGATGTTGTGTGGGTAAATACAGTGAACACTATACATCAGATTCATCCTCCCTCCTCTCACTACTCCTTGTCCTATTACAAATCGCTGTAACTTTACTAGTTATAGATGGACAGAAATTTACCAGGAGTTTAGCATAGGGAACGAATCCTTCTGCCCACACCTTTGTCATCATCTCGGTTAGATTTTTTAGAGTGGACCTGGTTAAATAGATGCATACAGCCGCTCTTGCAGTTTGGGACTGATGGCCAGACTTCCCTTTTTTCATTCGACAATGAGCAAGTTCACCTTAGACGAGGATTAAACTTACCAGATACAATCCATACTGTATCGCTGAGAAGCTATGTTCCAGCAATTCGGCCAGCCTGTTAGCACGGTATAATCGATCACAGAAGGCTTCAGTGTTTCGAATGGGAGAAGTGCGAGACGCTTGCCACCAGGCTATACGATATGTGACGTAGAGGCCACGGATAAGCAGGTTGAGCCCCTAAACGATGAACAAATGTACCAGAATCCTAGTTGATATGGGTTCAGATCGATTCATTTCAGAAGGAACAAAATTACAGTTCTCACCTCCACCGTAATCATCAACGCATAGAAACTGTGTATGACTTTGAATGAAGTAAATCCGAATGACGTCAACGCTGTAGCAGTGAAAAAGCAGGCCGCAAGTACTACTAGAAGTCGTCTCATTAGTATGATCTCCGAGTTAGTTGGGCAGTTGATAGGCTTTACTGGGGAATCCTTTCGGGTGACGTTTTCAGTTGATTCCTTCGAAGTGTTCAAATCGTCTGATGACGATAACTCCTTCACTGCCTGAATGTCATCCGTGGGCTCTTCCACAGCGCTTACATCATCTGACGACGATGAATCATTAGCGGTGTTCACGTCTTCCGATGGTTCCGGATCATCACCAGAAGCAGCTGATTTCACGTCATCTTCAGCCGTAGCCGGCTTTTTCTTCGACTTAACGAATCCAACGATCTGTAAATAGATCTTCAGGAAAAACTAGCATAAAAATAAATAAATCTATGCAAATCTACGTAAATTAATCAAATGACGCCCATCAGACCAATCTGTTCTTTGAGGTTGCGCCGGACATGAGATCCTAATTCAAGATAGGGGCATTTGGAAGGGCACTTGGCTTATGTCGACCTGAGACTGACGGGACCAACCAATGTGCAACGACGGAAATGTGGTACCAGCTGGTAGACATGGAAGAAAAGGAAGGTTTGGATGACCCATGTTTTGAAATCTGATACAGGAGCTGATCACAGGATTCGATCCAGGAGAACAACGCCATTCGCCACTGCACTACATTCATCTCATGCATACTTCAACAGATTAGACGACCCCACCTTTCACAAAAGAGCCATTCTATGACCAAAAAAAAACTTTCCGACATTCAAAAACTTCGAAGACGCTATCGCTATGATAGGAATGAAGGAAAAAGTTGGACAGGGAAGGAAAGATAGGGAAATTTATATCATTTTAGAGAGGTTCTTGTATTTCTGAAAAAGGGTCGTATAGTTCACATCTGATTCAGAGACATTTGAGCCTTCAAAATAAACCTCTGCCAAAAAATTGAAAGCACAGTAGCCGACCGTGTCATCACAGTTTTAGCGTGCTATACTGACGCAACTGGTCGAGGCGATATGGACCCTACTGACGTAATTCCTCCGCTTACTTCCTACCGGCTAAAAATAGTACCAAAATCGCGACGTACAGAAACTTCGTGATAGGCTACTACCACCATTACTTAGCCGCTCCGAACGTCTTACGAAGAGAAATCCAAAGTGACTACAGTAAGCACTTCAATCGCTGCTTGAGCTTCTGCGACTGGCAGAAAACCGATGAACAACTCATATCATCAAATTCCCCCAGAGATCAGCCATGCGCTTGACTCCCACTTAACATAGTACTTGTATTTTAAAGCATAGCCGACCTACACCCTGATTTGAGGGGTCAGCTAGCATGCAAGTCGGTCTCCTGTCGCCCCTGTTTAGGCTGAATGGATGTCAGTGAAAGACAGCTGAACGTTGGTGGATGCGGCTGAGCCGTCTAAGTTCACCGACCAGCCTGCCCACGGTCCAAGCGAGTGATAGCTAGCCCAGTTGAGAGTGTTCCAAATGTTCCATCCCATTCTTTCTTTTTTTGACTAAGGCGTCCCTTAGAAAAAGCGGCAGGTTGACTCTGCCTGAATAATCCTTCTAATCGTCTAGGATTAACAGATAGACAACAGATTAAGTGCCCGATTTAAAACGATGGGGACCACAAACCTGAAAAACGAAGGAGGAAACCACCAAATATCAAGTATAACACCCTATTTGTTCAAAATTTCGATGAAATATTTTTTCTAAAGATCATTTATATATCAAGATATCACGAATTTGTTGGGTGGGTGGAAACCTATTAGCGATAACGTTATCCAAATATTGTTATCAGACAAAACTTCCCACCCCACTGCTCATCCACCTACGTTTGAACAAATTTGCCTCTTCAGTTCTGAAGAAACAAAAGATCGGAAACATGAACCCTTCAGGACTGCACGTACCATTTCGAATCTTTGATTCGCCATTACGGTAACCGACATCACCGACCATACTAGTATAAACCATATCGCAAACACTGTTGCATCTGTTATACGATGAGCCAACTCGTGAGGCGACACCGACTTTGAAGTCCTGAAATTCGTCACTCGATCGTCACTACTATAACAATTCCTTAATGTAGGTTATCATCATTTTGAATTACTACTTTAGTGCTACTGTAGCCATGGTAATTACCCAAACAATCCGATTCATTGAGGCACTTAAACAAAACAATAACCCTACAGTTTACTCCGACACACAACAACCTCGAAAGCATCCAGCTCTACTGGGCAAGTTGCGGTACTTCCTCGTCGCATTTTTGGTACAGAACTCATGGAAAAGTGATTGAGCCACCTAAAGAGTAGGGGAACTTTGAGCGCCACGCCGCAAAAAGGCTAGACTGGGGAACGTTCAAGAACCCAATCCTGGTGGAGGGGGGGGGGGGGGGGGGGGGGGCTTCTTATGAATAAGGAGTTTGTGAGATCAGGACCGAAAGGATCATTTGGTTTGGTCTAAAAAGTGCCCCGCAGAGGACGACAGCCAACCCATAACTCAGTGTTTTATCCTCCTTCACAATTCGATATTGCGCATTGATGAAGCGCTCGGTAGATTCACGAGTTGATCCATCCCTCCCTTACAACTGTCCCATAGATAGTCCATGCCTCTATGGAGGATAGCATTGGTATAACCACAAGTACGGAGATGATTCTCGTAACGATCCCACATAAATTCATCCGCCCCGCGACTTCCAACAAAAAGCGAGGCGTAGCGGCTTGACATGATAGTGATGGCCCATCTCAGAAACGCCTACCACTAGCAGCGCTATTTACAAAAAAATTATGCTAGGTACGGGGGAACTTTGCTCTTTGTCCGGTGCAATTCCCACTTCATACATCAGAGATAGCGAGCGAATTATCCTGGGCTAATGGGCTGACCTACACGCAAACAGATCAGATCACTTTGATAGGATGACAGCACGCTGATGCATCGACATTCGGCCTACATTGCCCCCACTTTTGCATTTTGGGGGATTCAATCCCAGTCAGGGAAAACTGAGGCTGATCACAGAGGGGCCAAAGCCTTTTCTGATCAACATAGCCACATTTTGCACATTACGGTACATGTATTATACGTTGAGTCGGATAAATGGCTGACCAACACTAACTGAAAAAACAATTCATTATTAATGTTCACCTTGCCACGAGAAACTGCTCTTTTTCCGGATTCCTTACGATGACGTAAGCAAGAACCAATATTTTTTCGACGACGAACTGTCTGAAATGAATTTATTACATTAATTCCGTGCTGAATTAGGCCCCTTCAATTAGGTAACTGAATAACGCCAAAAACTTGATGTAACTACGCTCAGTACATTCACTTAGTCAAAAGACACATGAGAAGTGTACCTTACCCAACGATTCCGCGCGCGGTTGCGTAGCGTTTACTTCGACTGTGTGGACGTCATCAGTGTTTGTTAAGAGTAAAAGTTGCGGGGATTGACTATGATAACAGTGTGAGGGTGTCCACTGGCAGGCTTTCCGGATGCGGGGAATGGTCATCGTCATAAAAGAATGACACATAAGCTGCTCANCTCATGACGTTCGTCGCGTTAACCACCTACCTGCCGCGCGCGGAAATTTCGCGCCTAGACCTAATGGTACACATTTATGAGATGCGTAGGCCATTGCTAATGCTCCATAGCTCAAAGACCATCGTTACGCTAGCCTATTGTGCCATTATTGTCGCTCAACGCCCAGCCTATGAGAGTCGTAGAATGCGACAAGTATGAGACCAATTTCTTCCTAATTAATTCTTGTTGAAGGCTGAATATATAATGCAAATCAAAAGAAGCTATTGTGATCGCAAAGTGTTCAGTGCTCCCTTATCAAACCATAAATAAATATCATAAAAAATGACCTAATACTACCTTGTCAACCGTATGTTGGACTAAGATTACTAAGTGGGACGCTTACAGTTTGACTTCTTCAGATTCTCAACCCATTGAGATCTATGCCAGCACCACTGGTCTCGTTTAGATGACTGCATCAATATTACTCACCAAACTACAAATGTACTATGCCCACTAAAATTCCACGAATTCTTTATGAGGGCAAAGGTGGTGTTAGACGGGACGGTTTAATAGCCATTAAAATGATATCTCCATCGGGAAACGGTAATAAACCTTAACACCCCCACTCTGACGCGATCATTTCACACCCGGAACATGCTTTCCAACATCTATAATCGAATCAGTGAAGGAAAAGGAATTGAAGCCTTTTCCATTAAAATCCGTTTTGGGCCCCTTTAGAAGGTCAGGATACGTGTTCATAGAAATATCAGTAAGGAGAGAATCTGCAAGTTTAAGGTCTTCAAACAAGTGGTCCAATCTGGCGCTGATCTATTACTTATATTACTCGGGACACGCCATGCATTTCGCTTCCTCTGAAAATCGTAGAAGTCTTGGACGCATAATTTGCTTGGGCAACGACTATTAAGCAACAGTTGACATGAATTTCAGGATTTGAAGCTTAAATTGGCCTTAGTGGCCTCAGATCAGATATTATTCTTACAGTATAAGGGGCCGAGAATGGAGTGATGACTTCTGACACCCGTTTCTCAAACTATCAACTGCATTACGATCGATTTGATGCTTTTTAGAAAACGTTTAATTTTGAAAAACGAGAAATTCTAACTATCCATCACTGAACCGGAACCAATTCTCTGAATCTGGTGGTAAAATGAACGCACACAGGTTATCAGCAAAAGGCATTACAGATGAGTTAGTCATCGCTCAAATACCAACATTCTTAAGGTTTTTCAGGGAATTCGCGTGACAGTGATTATCAGTCACCCAGACGCTCACAAGAACTATTCACTATTACATCACAAATCGATTTTCTAAAAAACCGTAGGAAAACTTAATGAATGGAGCTACAGTACCCCTCCCTATTGATAACCATTCAAGCTCCTTCAGCGGAAGTCTTCCTCATAACAATACATGCACAACTGACCTTGACTGACTTCAGTGATATGGATAATTCGAGCGATGGGCGCTAAAAACAGAAGTGATGCCATTCTAAGAACTCGCTTATCAATTTTGTTTATTCGAATTCCACAAGCAGGAAAAAAGCTGGTGCGATCAGCGAACGAAATTTCGAAAGATATGGCTTCTAAAAAGTTTAAAAGACTAACCAAGAAGTCCTAAGCACCGCTTGTGAAAAGGACACGACGGCGTAACATATAGGGTGAACTCGAGAGGAACTTTTCGATTTCGGGGGCAGTTTCCTTACAGATCGCTTTTTTTCACGTTACTCTTTGATCAATGAAAGATTGAACTAGCGCCTTATTTGCCCCAAAATCTCCCTCACTTCCAACTACTTGCCCCACCTTCATGAACGTCCCGAGCGAGAGCTCCTTGCCAGTGCAGAGGTCATTTATTACCACATGTCCTTTCCAAATCATTGTCCTGACAGCCCTGAGACGACACAACCGAAAGTTTGAACCCCAGACCAACCATGAAATGCTGTCCGCGACATACAAGGCCTCCGCATTTCTCCCGTTTTTCCAGAGCCGGAAAGCTTCTTTTTGCCCAACCGGAAATCGAAACTCAGGTTTCTTTTCCATATTTGTAGAAAGCTAGTTGAACTGACAGCAACTGCACATCTCGCAACAACCGTGTTCCTAAGCTGCACCCACATAAAGACGTAGTCAATATTTTACAATTTTCGTTAGACGGTCGTCAGGTCCTCCTTTAACAAGAGACGCCACAAAGTTCAAAGACGTCAGAAACCAAATCGCAGAGATTAAAAAAATAGATAAGCGGCACCCACATGACCACAGTGATTACACAGTGGTAGCGGAACTCTCTTCCGTTAAGTTCAATAACATCTTCTTATCTGTAGAACGAAAAAACCGATGCTACCCTTCAGCAGATCCCAACAAATGTTCGGGAAAGGTCTACTCACATACTAGGATTCAAAGTTTCGTATCCTCCGCTGCGCACGGGAGCACTTTTCCCTTTTTAACTCACAGGCACGAAGAAGAAGGGATATAAATGATCGATTAGTGAGAAACATCAAAGCAAAGAAAAAGTGTAAAAAAAAAAAAGAAGGATCATGAAAAATTCAAAACAACCGTGTTGGCCTGATCCCGGAACATAATTCAACATATCCACAAAAAACTTCAAGGTTCTACTCGAATTCTGCTATTTTCTATGTGAATACAACTGGGAAACTTACCTCATCAGATGGGTTATGTAGGAATTTTCACTCGATTTCATCTCTTCAACGTATTCCATCGGGGCATTTCGTAGCGTGATAAATGGATCGAATACAAACATACGAGACATAGCACAGGCGACTGCAGCACCAAGTACAGTGATCTGAACTCGTAATATTCCACTCTATTCTACTGCAAAAAGTAGCACTTCTTCATTATTATTAATAAGGGACTACCGTTGAGTCAGAAATTGTTTTAACCTTTAGAACTATGTGGTGATACAACAGAAGCCACAACACTAATAACAATTCAAATTGATAAAATTCCCACACAGAAGGCTCACCCAAATGTATTCGCTCAAGAACACTTCCATGAGAAGTTGATCAACTCGTATTTGTTGAAGGAACCACTGCACTACAATAGCTCCGTCCCTGAAAGGATTTGGAAGAAAATATATCCAACGATCTCAGGAGTAGAAATGCTTAGGTCGATTTTCACCCTAAATCTATCGAACACGAGACTAACTCGATTCAATCGATTTGACGATAGAATGACCAAATCAGACAAGAAACCATATAAAAGTATCAGGAAAAAGGTTTTTAATTATGAAGCTGAAAACCCAGAAAGAAACGCCAGAATTAGAAAGACATTACCTGCAATTTCTGAAAGCCGCTTCAATTTTCTCTCTATACAAAAAGACGGTCCCTTTGCCTCCTTCGACTGAAAAATACCAATTTCGTTAAGGCAAAAGCGATTCTGATATAATACGTTTTATTTCGAAGAACTCACTTGCAACGTGTTCTCGTGGTCCTTTACGCCAGTATTGCTCCACTGTTAGTGAATATGGACAGTACAATCCGGCCGATTCTATAGAATCCCTTAGTCGATCGCCAGGAATAGAAATGAGGGGCACATTCACATCGATCAGACGTGCTCCTAGCCATAAAGCGAAGAACCATCCAAGTATCACACCGCTCAGAAGGGATCTACTCTGCATGCCTTAAAGCAGAACTATTATTAAGCTCTAGAATCCATAGCTTTATATAGTACCACAAAATGGTCCTGTACGGGTAGCGCCCATAGCGTGGAACACCGAATCGAGGAGGGGTAAATCAGCTGAATAGGTGCATATCCACCTGGTTGATTTTGCCTATCGAACGCTTCCAAACACGCCGCTTTTTTCGTGACACTCGAATCAATAAACACTCCTTTCTTTTGCGGATTCAACATTCGCGGAGTATGGATGCTGCCTCAGGCTCTTCAGAGCGCCACTCAAAAGCCCATGTCAAAAAAAACATTTCGTTTTAAAAGAATGGCCGATCAAAAGAGAGAACTAAAAATGGAAACAGCCGGAAATCGCTTAGAAAATGGTTCACGCAATTGTAGCTCATCTAGAAAGCGAACTGCAAAGAAGAACATGGTTACACAGTTGAATGCCGCTGTGAACGTACAGTGTTACACCTTTTACAGTGTAATGCCGTTTTGGAATTCAAACACATCCAAGGAGCGCGAACTGCCCAAATGCTCATATCGAAAACGCCGCAAAATGGAAAAATTTGCACAAAACAGGAGGCAGTAGCCTCAAAAATCTATCACAGGCTCCCTACAGATCATATTCCCGATGTTTCCTATGTCCGCCAACGCTGGCCCATGTCCAGGCAGGCATTAGGCCAGATGAAACCTCCGAGGACGAAACTATGCACGACGTGATCCCTCCTCAATGAGATCTCCATAACCAACGAACAGCAAAACCGTGCGCGAACCCGAAATTGCTGCTGCAACTTCTAAGATTTTCCTCAAAAACTCTACTGAACCGTTTCTGTTATAAAATGGGTACACCTATTCTTGTCAACCCTCATATTCAGCTTTGAGATGGATGACTAAAACTTCCAACATACGCGGCAGTCTACCCAAACTTCAAAGCACTTCGAATCAATTCCAGCCATGTTTTATTCAAAGAAGTAAAGGAAAAAGGACAGACCCCACAATTTCCCATTCGATGCAAGTAAAACGATAACAATATTTATTTGCAATAACAAACAACGTGCTATCCGAGATTAACGTTTTCCTCCAACTCGGGGAGCGGTGGCCTTCACTGGCTTTGGTGCCTTCAGCTTTTGTGGAGCGGGCTTCTTTTCCTGTAATCTTATAAACGTAATAAAGTGCAACAGGAAGCTATGAGTTTGATGGAAATGTTGGTTTTTCTCGACCGCATGTTCATAGCAGCTCGAAATGCGAAAAACTCACATTTACGAGCTGTAGCAAAATACGGGAATAAGAAAACCTGACTATTTCGCGCATTTTCGACACTCAATCCACCATCACGGTGAAATGAGCTCTAATAATGCGCTTGCAATCCCTTCCTCATACATGGAACAAAAACAAGAGGCCTTAGAATGTCAGTCGAAGAAAATGAACAAAGACAAACCTTATTCAATGCGGCCTTGGCTGCTCGTGCTGCCTTGTTAGCCTCTTTTGCGGCCTTAGCTGCCTGTTCACGTTGTTGACGTCGGAAGTCAGATGTTTGGTTGCGCTTGGCCAGAATAGCCTCCAAGGACATTCCAGCGACGGCACGGTTGAGAGTATGGGTTGTCTTCTTCACCTTTTTCCTTTGTACATTCTCTTGTCCGTAGGATCCCTTCAAATAAGGTAATGGAGGAAAAGAAATGAGTGAGAAACGAAAAGGAAATATTTTAGTATAACCTAAAAGAGATAAGAGGTTCATGGTTAACGGACACATGTTTAAAAAAACACGTAGTTTTCTAGCTTCGGAACCCTCCAAAAACCCCTACTTGACATTCGAGCACGGAATATTTGTGCTGACAATTTCCAAGAACTAAGCCTTCTTCGGTATACAATAGGCAATGAGGACGATATTTCCCCCCTGGGTGTGTAGATAAGTGAATATAAATAAAAAAAATTGCACATGAAAACCTTACTTTCTTGTGCTTGATACGGTAAAGAACTGTCCAACGGATGTCTCTGGGACTTCGCTTCAGCTTAGTAGATCGGAATGTCTTGGCCGAAAGGAAAATTTGCACCTTAAAATGTTTTTTTTAGCTTTTTTCTACAGCGGCAACAGCAGGAACCCATCTTCTTGAACATTTCTTTCTCACAGACTGTAACCAAACAAGAAGCTATAAGCAGAAAATTATAGCAAAACTGACTACCAGAACCATCCAATTTTCCTTTCATTGTTGCCCTATCAATGGTCAGCCCCTTTCACCTGAGTATAGTTCCTCATCTCAAAAGTATTTCCTGTTCCCCCAATTACCCGAAGACATCAATCAGTACTCCTGCTTTTCATGATCTAACAGTAATCATAGTTGAAACCATATTCAATTTCCCATCTAATCAATCCTGAATGCGGGGCCACTTATGTTCCGGTTTGGGGTGAGAAAAATTCCTTACAACAGTGAATCTCACGAACGACTTGGAAACTAATACGAAGAATATGAAAACCAGTGGCTAATGGGTGACAGAAGTTCAACAGAAAAGGTCTTTGTATAGGACTTGGGCAGAAGTCCCCCTAACGAGGAAACTAAGGGTTGCAACACCCTAGTCGTAAAGAATCAATACTAGCTTCGTTTCTCTACGTTAAAAGACTAGAGATAAATAGCTCTTGCCGAATCTGGCTTCTTATTTCGTTACAAACTGAACCGTTCTTTATCAACAGAAATAGTTGCAAATTGAACTAGCAAGCCCCAACATTTGTGACTGAGCGAACAACAAAAAAAAAATAGCAATCAAGCATGAACTATTTAAAACTAGAACATATATCAAAACGAGCATCGAAAAACCTGTTCAAAAAGACAAAAGGACAATTTTAAAAACAAACTGCAAAAAAAAAGCGATAATGTACTAACACACCTTTCCATCAGGACGTACGACACGTTTCCCGTGTCCAGGGTAAATCTTGTATCCAGAATACACACAGGTTTCCAACTTCATGGTTGGCAGAGCCCTGGTTCGATGTCACTGCAAACCAATTTATTTCTATTCATTACTAATATCGTTTTAATCACGAATTTCTAAGCCAAAAAGTGAGGTTCTTTGGCAACATGAGGCTTCTTACGGCAATAAAAAGGCACCACTGACAACTGGCATGACTTTATAGCTGCTCAATTCAACAATTCCGTCGAAAGTGACAATACTGAAGAAGACAAGTACGGAATAATTTAGAAAAAACTTTTGGGTTGCGATTAAAAATCGCAGGATTTTCCATGCTCCGAATGGGCTGCTACGCAGTCTAGCTTGCTTTTCCGTACGGGACCATCTGTAATTTTGGCCGAAGTTCGTAGAAAAAAGTGCCAATTCTATTTCGTAAATTCTATATGACTTGTAGAATGACGAAGATGTGGCTCTAAATACGTTAACCGAAATAAAATATGATTTTGGTTGACGTAAACATATTGCAGTAGGCCTAAACAGTAACGAGCTAAGTATGAGCGTTGTTTCTTCCCTAAAAAGTAATTTTTGGTTCGATTATGAACAAGAAATGCCGACACATGATGGAAAGCACAAATTAAATGTCATTTACTAGGCTCGTCGAGCCGTAGGTATGTTAGTCATAGGGGGATCCAAGCAGTTGGTTGACTACGGTAGCCCGCATGGGACGGAATTTCACGACTTTCCAATTCCCAACGATTCTGCCCAAACTACTAGTTCGCCATTTAATTTGTTGCTTCCTGATTTGCTATTAATTTCACTTGTGAAGCATTTGTGTTTCATTCCAATCGAGTTGGCTGTGGTAGTCGTATTTCTCACTGGTTCCTTATCGTCAAACAATTTACAGGACTTGCGGTTAGGATGCTGATTCCAAGCAAAAATAGAAAAGCCATCTTCGAATACCTCTTTAATGAGGGAGTGGCCGTCGCCAAGAAAGATTACAATCTTAAACAGCACCCAAATATTCCTGGAGTTACCAATCTTGAAGTCATCAAAGCACTGAAGGTGAGGTCAACCTATCGTTATTTTGTTTTCACCGGCTTTTGAAGTTCACCTCCAGCAAATTTACGTAAAGTCTGGTAGAAAAAATCTGTGGTTGTGAATTTCGCAGTCGATTGCCTTTCTTGCTTCAGAGTTTGGCTTCTCGCGAGTTAGTCAAGGAGCAATTCGCGTGGCGGCATTATTATTGGTACCTGACCGATGAGGGTATTGCTCACCTAAGAGAGGTCTTGAATCTGCCGGCTGAAATTGTCCCTTCAACTGTTAAGAGCAAGCCAAGAGACATCCGCGCACCTACAGACATCCGCGAACGCATTCCTCGTCCAGGTTAGTTTCCATCGCTTAAAGTTTATTGTAATCTCGTCTTCTATTTTCGTTTTTTTCCTTAATTCCTCTCATGTTTCATTTCTGTAACTGTTCGCGAACGTGAAGGAAAACCCCTAGGAACGAAATAATCTGATTGAATGGCTACTCATTCTTGTGAATTGGTCTGTCGCTTAGCACTTTGTTCATGAATGCAGGACTCTTCGTGGTTAGGGTGCTCAATCGGTTCCCGGAAATGGTTTAATTACGAGATTCTCAATGGCAATGTTTACTCCTTGCAGGGATCCCTTCAAGACCGGTTTTAGCTTTGATTTTAGCTCCTGCGATTCATTTCTTTATACCATAAGCTTGTAGGATTATTCTAATTTTTATTTTTTCTTTGAAATTGGGTTATCATTTGGAAATTTGAAGGCTTGAAAATGTTTCTTATTGAATGGTTCGAAGCGCTGCACGGTTTTTTTGGGCAGAATTTCCAAAGATAATGTTCGACGGTTTACTTATCTATCCTGACCTCTGAGCCGTGGTAAAGGATGCAATAGCTGAAGATTTTCCCGGTAGTTTTTTTCTTGTTGGCAGTACATTATCAGTTCTGCTCATGTCCTTTTTCCCAGCTCGCATATGTCCTTAATTCCATTCTCCATACAAGATCCATTCTTTCAGCTAGTAGTCTTGAACGAGTGAAAATGTTTCATATCTCGGATGGTTGTTACAGTTTTACATACGGTGTGTATACCAAGGAGTGGGAAAAAGGCTGCTGGTAAGCACTACAAAAACTGAGTTGAACCCTGTTTTGGAGGTTACATTGGATTGGCTGGGCACTGGTTCTTTTGTTTCTCGAACTTATCCAAAGTGCTAAAAGTTTTTTACGATATCAATTTCATACTTTGGACATCCAAGTCTATTTCCATTCGTATCTATTTTCCAGGCGTATTTCATGGGACAAACAAAAACTGTTTCGATTCTTAATTACGCTTTTTTGTAAGATCATGCTTCGAGGCTTATGAATATCTTCAACTTGAATTTATCGAAATATCTTAAATTTTTTTGTTTCATTAACAAAATTTGGGAAGTTTTCCAAACAATTTTCTCGAGTTGCGCTTCATTATGTTCCTACAGTCCAGCTCGTAACACGTTTTTACCCTTTTCTTTCTCCTATTGAGTGAGGGATACGTCTTAATTAGTTTTATCGTCTTGAGATCCATGGCATAAGGACTGCAAGGTACCTGCTTGCCGTTTCATCGTTCAAAGTGGGTTTGGGAATAATCAGCTCACAATCATAACGGAAGTTGTATCCTAGTATTCTGTATCTTTTCTAATTGTCCGTTGAAAACTCGTTCATAATCAGCCTTGACTCGATTACAAATTGATTACTGCTTGAGTTAAACATCGTTTTCCAATGTTTTCTTTATTCTTATTTCTTACTTCTGACTTATTTCTTTATTCTATTACGTGACGTTTAATAGTTGAAGATGCCATTCATCGTGGTTTTCGGTGCGTTTTAATGTTACTCTCACAACAATTCTATTTTTTCCTTTTTTTTTCTCATGAACATCTTGTAAAAATTTTAATAAAGAGCCAAGATATCATAACAGGGCCTGTAGACTCATATAGCTGTTTCCTGATGTTTCCTTCAAGAAATTCACCCATTGAACATTTTCAGTTCCTGGCAAAGAGGGAGACCGTGACGCGTACCGAGTCGCTGAGAAAGTTACTGAAGCTGGGCCAGGATCAGCAATGCCTTACCGCGCTGGATTTGGTAGAGGAGCTCCTCCGCCGCAGTAAAATGTTGATTTCTTGTTTTCAATAAATTGTTATTGGTTCAATTAATTGTTTGCTACGTATCAATCGGTATTTCCACACACAATGAAGTATTTGGAAGTTCTATACAGAAACCGTTTTCACTCGTTTTGATGGTGATGGGCATGTGGTCCTTCTTCTGAGTCTTCCAAGGCTTTTTTCTTTCAAGTTATAGAAAACGGAGCATACATTGAATAGCAGGGCGATTGCCATCTATGGCACCTCCTCGTCAACGTAAACATGTGAATCCGCCTGTACAGCTTGTTGGCCCGCAGCCAGCGGCTAGGTATGTTTTTGTTTGGTTTTTGATGGCTTCCTAGGATTCAAATAATCTGGAACAACTATGTACTAAGTCTCCGATCTCAACGTGCCAAACTACCAGTCCTATCTCATCTTCAGTGCCTTGATGGCCAAATACAAATCGATCCTTACTATTATACAAATAAAGCCGTCGTCTATGTATGGAGGGGGTGAGGAAATGCAGCAAAATAAAAGCAGCACATTGCACTATGGTTTTTAGCGAGCCTTGAGAATTAGAAAGAGTTTGGTAGAATTTGTTGAGGTCGATTTAGAAGTAATTAAACATCAATAGCTGGCCAGGAGTAGTAAGTTAGGAACGTTATTAACAGCTGCAACATCATCGTAGCTGCCAGAAGTAGTAGTGTTCTGGAGTAGTGCTTACATTTTTGAACTGTCGACGTTATCGTCACTTCGACCGAGTTGGTCCTGTCGCCACATCAAGACCGTTTTAGTTGTCGTGCTGTTTGGCCTCAGTGGTATCTCCAAATTGGCCGTGTCAGCCCTGGCACTACTTAATCCCTTTCCCATGCCCACTCATTTTTCACAAAGTAATCGTATTGAAGTAAACCTCTTCTGAATCCGATGTTCAAACCAATCCATTATTATCACGTTGAGAAGTTATGACAGATCTGTTCTAAGGTCCTGACGCATAGGTCACAGCAGAAGTGAATGGAATTATAAATTAAGCCTTTGCAGAGGATAAAGGGGTGAAGCAATAGTCGTCGATACTACTGACCCCAGAAAAAAAGTGGAGCGCGTTTGATGCTCTGCTGTTTTCTTTTCTTTGCTGTCTTTGTTGATCTTTAGTTTTCCAAACTAAAGCCGTACATTTGTAGGAGATGTTTTCATCTTTTCGCAAAAAAAACCTTTCATAAACCCAATTTTCATCCGCATGAAAGTCATCGTTACACATTTAGGTTACTTTTATATTAGCTATACATAACACGTTATTATAGCGGAATACAAAGTGTTGATGACAACTGCTCGAATTCGATTACCGGTGTGACGGTTTCGGTGCATCCAGTATGGCCGGACATGCAGTTCACTCAAGGGGAGCTGTTTTTTGAATGCACCTTGTTTTTGTACTCGGTCTTGGCGCTTTTCTTGCAATACCTGAATATTTACAAGACCCTGTGGTGGTTACCGAAGTCGTATTGGCATTACTCTATGGTAAGCACAGTATTTGTAGCATTTTTATGAACTGATTCCAACAGTTTGATCAAATCTTTTCAGAAATTTCACTTAATCAACCCATATTTCCTCTCATGTGTGGGCCTACTACTGGGATGGCGAGTCACAAAGTGCTTTTGGAAAACGGCAAGCTCAATCTCAATGTTTTTACATCCATATTCATTGTGGTTTCTTCTCAGTCCGCACGTGTTTTTAAGCAAGGGAGAGCCTCTTGTTTGCTAGCTCCACCGAAAAATTCTAAGCATGTGGAGGATGAGGGGCTGAGGTTTTAGGGCACAACTAATTGATACATGATTCAGATTACTGAGTTGGTCGCAACAATCGCTGTCGATCAGTCAACATTCGTTCAATCAACCTTAACCGTAATAGAGTATGCTATTGTTAAGACCCCTTTGATGACGTTGATCATCACTAGTTTCTTGTTTAGGTGAGGAGAGGAACTAGCACGTTTCGCTTTGTGAGTTTCTTAAAATGGTTTTGAACTTTCAGCTTCACCAGGATATGCCACGATTTTCCTTTCAATTCTGTGATGTACTTCTTCCATCCGTAAGTCAGCAGCTGATAATTACCAGAAAATTCTTCCTGTTGAATCGCTGCATTTTTAGTTTTCATTCATTTAATACGGAAAATTGCAACCCTTGTTGCAGGATGATACTCTACGTGGTCGTGTTCTACAGTGAACTAATAGGAAAATGGCAACGATTCAAAAAATCGTTTGGTGAATGGTATCGTGGCGACATTGACATTGCTCAGGTGAGCCCAAGTCATGCGTTTCGTCAGAAAAATCCTATGCATATCGGGTGTAACCTAATATTGCTCCATTATCTCTTGTTTAATAGCTCTTGATCATGCGTGATCTTGTTTTTTATCTCGATGTGAAAAAAGCGGCTGTGTGGCACCAAGGGCACTCGCCAGTTCGACTTTCCTTTTTTAGAGTTTTCTGCAGTGCCTTACAATCTTGAACATGGAACTTTATTCTCTCTTGATCGATTTCGCTTTAATGTTATAGTTTCATTTAACTAGGGAATGGGAACAGGTTTGAATTCGAAGGTTATCTCTTCAGTATTGTTTACCTGACGTTTTTTTTAGCTTGTCGACCGTTTTGTAGAACCACCCCCAGCGCAACTTGATCTTGATTCTGTACTTCACATGTGCAGTACTAATCCAGGTCCGCTTTCGTCATATTCGATTTGGGGGATCCGGAATTGCTTTGGTATCTCATGTTTCGTGATTTTTCAGTTCAAATTCGTGAAGAAGTGTCATTATTACTCGAAGATATGTATCTGAGGTTGAAACGAAGTTTGTTCGCAGGTGTTTCGACGGCTTTCTTATCGATATTCCTTCCTTGCGTGTTTGTTCCGGTGAGATTTTTTTGTCCTATCATGGGTCATATAATAGTTCACCGAAATATACGGAAACAACTGGAGTCTTCATGAATACGTCATGCTCAAACAGTAAAAGGATTTTTTAAGTTTCTAGCTATTGAGTAACTTCTAGCCTTTTTTTGCTCATTTTAGCTCCTTCGAACAGCTTCCGAAAAAAAAAACTATAATAACATCTTGTTGAGATTTGAATTTTTGCTTTGAATTTTGGTTCTGATTATAAGGTAGTTGTGGTCATCAGGACCTTTGGAAAAAAACCCATGGAGTCCTGAGTATATTTCTCAGAGATTCCAAAATCTATCAGCTTTTGATCTCTTATTGTACTCTTGTACCTGAATATTCAGTTTTCTAATTTTAGACTTATTTTACCTCCGTTCTGCGGCTCTTATCAGTCTCAACGAGTGAATGCACTTAGCGTGTTGATTTGATTAGTGGTTCTCTGCTCTACGAAAGAGATTATTGCAATTGTCCCACAAATTTTCCATTGGAAATAGCTCTTCTCAGGGTGTAGTGGGAATATCGAGAGTATTCTTTTGTCCTCTCAGTACTCATGATCAACTGCTATGATTTCGGCAATTTGAACTGCAATTCAGATACATCCTGGATGCATTTCAAAAAATATTAATGGCTATGAAACATAGACAGGTCCCAATAACTCTGAGATGTCCTTCTTTAGAAATGTGTAAAAAATTGAAATCTATGTGTTGTTGTTGCAATGTTCCCATAATTGCATCAGTTTTTTTTTCAGTACAAGACATCGTTAGGTGTACCACAAAAGGTGTTAGTGGATGAAGCATGGGAATCTGAGTTGTGTATCGTTGTAGCCTTGACTGCCTTCTCACTCTATATTACCTATCTGATGCCTCTCAACTACCTGGACTTGTTACACAGGTTAGTTTCTACGGTTTTTGACACTCTCGAAACAGATTGGTCGAATCCATATGTGCTTCTGATCGCAATGATACAACATTTTTTTGTTATCGAAGATTTACATGTAGGCGTTGTGGTCGAAATTTGGTAGTATGTGGTGAAAGACTATGTAAGAAGTAACTTTGTAAAAATAATGTTGATTTTTCTACAATTCACGCTTTCGTTCAGATCGTTTTTAACCCTTTGGTTTTCCATCGAGTCCATCTACACTTGATTTAAAGAATCATAGGGATGGCAATCTGACAGAAAAGAGGGTTGCTAGAAGTTTCACGGCCGTGATGTGACCTCTATAATCACGCACCTTGATCGGGACTGTGCGTTCTGTCTGGACTGTCCTAGGCGAGAGTTATTACGGCGATAACTAATCCGTGGTACGGTGCACTATTGGTGGTCGTCACTACGCGAATCACCTTCATTGAAACCTTGAATATATTGCAGGGCCTTTAATAAGACCCAATGCACAATTTTTGTAGACCCTTGCAGGAGCAAGGGTATAAGTACGTCAAAGTGACCGTTGGAAACTTCCCAGACTCAATCTATGAGCTGCCAGTTGATATGCAAGTTTTCATAAAAAATATAAATCTATAATAGTATAGGCTCTAGCAGTGGCTGCAAATTTTTTTTTATGATAAAGGTAAGACTCAAGCTATAGTGAAAACAACCAGGAAGCAATCATAGTGAAGTAGTTTTTCAGTTATCTTTCTACTGATTTTTAACCTTCTTTTATATTTTCTCGATCATAGTATTCAAAAGTTTTTTTACGGATTTTTTTCTTTGTATAGAGCGTTGATATACAAGCGCGTTTGTTTAAAAAATCGGATAGTTTTCCTGAGCTCCCTTATTTTTGTGAAGAATCCAAGGTTCACGAAATTCCTGAAAGTATTGACGGAATACTCCTTATCGTAACTCGTTTCCCTTTTCTTGCTATAATCACGCTCCTTCTAATTTTTAGATACAGTTCCATTCATGTTTACTACTCTTCTGCTTTTAATCTTTCAAATTTCACTAACGTTTCAGTAACTGACTGATAGGCAATCCTACTAACTCATGAAAACTGTTTTAATGGGTTTTGCTTGAGAGAGTTTCCAATTTTTACATTTTTAAATAAAATGACATTTGCGAGATTGTAGTAACAAACAACAACGTCAATACCTTAGCAACAACTCAGCCCGAACGCCCATAGTAATTACATGGCCGGTGTCTGGACTCTCAGCGATGAGGTTGTGTCCAGCGATTATTCGCATGCTATACGATTCACCGTGGGAGGCACAGGCGACGATGTTTACTAGTAATGAAACTTTGCATTCACACACGGGCCTCTATGAGACCCAGTGACCAATTTTTGCGGACCCTTGCGGAAGCAAGGGCGTAGTGTTGGATGGTGAGGAGAGTGGTGAAGGTAATAGCTTCAGTTCTCATAAGCATTGAAAGTTTCAACATTGTTCGAAATATCGAATTTGAAAAAATTTGGATTTTCTTCCAAAAGCACTTTGCAGCATGGCTCCTTTTCCCACTTTTCTTCTTTCCTTAATTTGGCCAACAAAACCTTGAAAGGCTTCTATTCTGAATAAATCTATTTCACTTTCTAAGCTTGATGTAGGAAGTCCATGGGAGAAATGGAAGAAGTACCATCAGGCCCAAGCGAATGATCGTGAAGGCTCCTGTTTATTTTGTACCCTGAGTTTTTTTCGGTTATTTCGTGCCATCGATGCTTTATGTGTGGAAAGGGTATAGATGGTAAGGTAAGGCGAGCGGACATGATTATGGCATTTTTCCCTTTGTCACAGTTACTCGTTTTGCTCCCAATGGGTGTATCATCGAGGGACTCCAATCCTTTCCCAGTCCCTTTTATGTGCGAAATGAGTTGGAGGAATAACATCCATGGGCGAACGTGATGTTCTTTATCCTTTCAGAACCTTTCAAACCTTCTTTTATCCCGATTGACTTTGGTTACCCAATTCAAAGTCAATTGATGTGAAGGGTGGTTTGGAGATGGAAGGACGGAGATGGAAGCATGATGGTTTTAGCGTTCCTTCCCTCCTCTATTCTTTTTCGGAGAGCACATCGATTCAGAGGCATCCTTATCGTCCCTTCTGTTCGAAAGCGCACTCGGAAGTATAAAAAAACACGAGTTATTGGACCTGCAAGGAGCACATGTTATGTCGTGTTTTTAAACCCGCAGCATATACGAAGCTCTTAGATTTGCCGTGAGGACTTGCAAGGATTTGTCGGAAAACAAAGCGTGAGGGCCTTTTGCAAGACCCCCAACCAATTTTTGGCGCGCCCTCAGTCGGGGGCGTTTCTGAGTTTGTACATTTCGCCCTGAAGTCCATCCACACCGAATTCCTTTAGGGTTTTTCTGTGTTTTCTCCCTTTTTTGCTTTTTGGTAATATTCTGTTTTTTTTTTGCAAAGATGGCTAAAAGTGCCAAGAAATCGCTTCTGGTTCAATATAGACAAATCATCCTTCTTAAATTCCATCTATCTTCTTGCCTGCTTCGTTGGGGGGAAATTAAGTTTGAATCGACGTTGGCCAGTACTTGGTTATGAGACATTTGATTTCAATTTCAGATTCGTGGCTGTGTTTTGATGTATGCTGTGACATGCGTATTCCAGGAGTTTTTGAATGAATTTCTTATTAAATGGGGGTCTGAGAAAGGTGATCGGCTAACTTGTTGCCCTGGGCGAGAGTCTTTTGAGAGTTCAATGTCTGGATGACATATTGACAGTGACGTGGTTTTTTCTTGAGGCCTTTCTCAGATCGTATCGTAGTAAATGAATATATTTTCTAAATTATATTGATATAAATAACTATAAGGGCGGAGGTGGTGCAGTGGCAAGTGGCGCACTATCTCACGCGCACGGTGACGGGTTCAAATCCAGATCGGTATCCGCCTGGGCCAACCAAGCCTTCAATCCCTCAGGGGTCGATTAATTGGTGCCATACTCGTCTGGGAGGATAAAAGCATTGACTTGTACATCGGCTGGCCACCGCAAGTCATTGCATAGCCCACACATGCACTCATTACGCTACTACGATTCTGGATGGAAGTCGGGTGCGGGCGCATCCCTCGTATGGGATTAATTAACGCCAAAAACTTATTCCTTGTCCTTAAATATTTATAAATAGTTGCAACTAATGATGGCTGCTTCGTCGAGAACAACCGCTTGAGTGCTGTGAGAAGAATCGAAGCGAGACAGTAACTAGCAATAGTTTTTTACTTTCTTCATGTCGAAAGCTTCTTGAAAATATTCAACATCGCATGACTTTACTACTAATGGATCATCAGTTTTCTTGCGATAGTTCAGGGCCTAATACCCACTGCAAGTAATTCCTGGCTGTACCAAAAAAACTGTTTCAGAAGTGCAGTACATCTGGGAACATGGGACCAGATCGAAGGACCAAAGATTGGCCAGACAGGACAAGCAAAGTAAGTTTGATTCTAACTGTCTCAGTTCTTGACCTGGATAGCAATTCTTCCAGTTGGGCTCCAATGCCGTGGGTAGCGCAGTGCCTTTATTCCGATGGCGAAACGGTGCAGTTGCCAGATGGACGGTGCTATCGTGCTCGTGGTTCGTCAACCCTGAAGACGGTCGCTGCGGAGCCAGGATGTCCAGAGCATGACAAATTTTATGTTAGTTTACCCTGAACTCTGCATATTTTCGAGGTTTTGCGGAGAAGTTCGCCATATATAAATTTTCCGACTTTCCACTGATTTTCCCCTAACAGAGCAATCACGACCTCTTCAGATGCTGTGTGGACGTCCATGTACACTTATAAATGGCATGTGCATCTTCGAAGGTGCTCTAATTGTCTCACAGTTCTGGATGCTTGTCCTAACAACTGACTGGCAGCATATTGTCACATTAGTACTGCTGATGTTCGCTAACTATTTACTTTTAGCGAAGTTGTTCAAGGATAAAGTGAGTTCAATGTTACTGCCTTCTACTCAAATGGTTCCGCATTCGACTATCTTTATTTGTAAATCCTCCAAGGCGTAGTGTCCAGTAGGCCATAACGGTGGTGGGCTTAGAAGTTGGAGCGGTACTAATCTGTAGACCTCCACAGCTCTAAGTTATAGAAGAGAAGTTGATTTTAAGTCAATTCAATATTATTCATTCTTAGGTGATTCTCGGCCGTATCTATGAACCGTCACCGGAAGATTTGGCATTGATCCAACAAATCCATTTGGAAAATCGGCTAGCACATTAATTTATTGTATTTAGGCTTAACAGGTTTCATTAAATGTTTTCTTTCACTTACCGAGGAAATACTCCTTAGAATGGCCTAACCTTATGATGTATTTTGTGTGATGTACATAACGAACTATTTTTCTTGCCAAGAGGGTGCTTACCTATGGGTACGAGGTAGTTGCGTTTGGACGAGTTTCTTTTTGCTGCCAAACTCCTTTTTTTCTAAAATGTCGTGAAGCATCAGAAATCTCAAAGGCCTTCTAGGCAACAACTTGTTTATCGCCATAAAAAGAAACACGTTCAGGACACATCCCCTTCTCGTACCCTTAGGCATTTACCTTTACCAAGGTGTTATTGTTCATTCTGTCGGGTGGAGGTACTAATATTGTGAATAAAAATTGTACTCCATCTCTTTGATGGTTATCGACGAGGTTTATTCCGAACTCTTCTGTCTCATGTTGAATTGGAAGTTAAAAATTTGAAATTTGAGAGTCCAAAAGGGCTTTTTATTGACTGCTGTAGAAGACTGCGAGAAGATCTGCTTCACAAGAGCCACCGATCTCAGGAAATCCAAAGACGAAGAAGTTAGTGAGGCACGCACTTATCTAGCTTGGCTGAGATGAACCCTCCTTCTTTGTCATCCTAAAAAGCCTCTTATATCCCTCCACGAGGCTTTTCCATTGTACAGCTGCTTTGGAGATGCCCAATCATTGTCTTTTCGAAAGTTCGGGGCAGATAAGCCTTATGCAGCTGGAGTAGTGCCCTCTCTAGTTGGGAGGTGTGGATGCTCTTTGCTGTAAATGCTTTACTGGAAAATATTCGAATTGTTCACGATCAGTGGTTGTAGGTGAAAATGGCTGTAGAAAAAGACACAATGGAAGGTGTACCGCCGTTAACGTGGATCGCCCATCCGGTACGAGTCCAGCTGGTAGCTGGAGGGAATGATCAGTCTGTTGATGGCAACCTGTACACAATTGATCCACTGACAGGAAGCCTCGTATTGATACGATTTCATAATGAAAGTGAGTTCTGGGATGTCTACTGAATTGGGTTTTTCAAAACTACTTTTTGCAATCACATGCCTGAGGCAGATTGGAAACAGATGAGTGGTCAATATCATGATAGGTGGAGTAAGCAAAAAATGTGGTAGCCCTTTGCAATACCTCAGGAGTTTCTAGTGGAGATTTGGATGCACAATTTTCTGTATTTCCTTGAGTCTTCATCAAACGTAACGAGGCGCCCACTCCATTTTAACGATAGTGAAATCTCAATTCCAACATGTTCCTGTCTTCCATAGTCATTTTTAATCTTATCCGTACCCCCTTTTTCAGAGCCATGGCAGGTGTCATGGATACCACGTGAAGGTTACAGTTCGGTTAGTATGATCGACGAACCGTCTCCTCATAGTCAGCGTTACAGTGTCGAATTAGCGGATATGATGAGTAATATGTTCGGTATGCGGCAGGTTGAAGAGGTGGATGCTGATGAGTTGAAGGAAAGGTAAATGTGATGGACTTTATTTAGATTTTGAGAGCTTTTTTGTCATCAATCAGTACTACTGAAATACAAGTCAGAAAAACAGGTAAAGTTTTAATAGTAGACATAGTTCTAACCATTTTTGGCTATCCCTTGCTTAGCTCGTTGTATACCTCTACGTACAGTCAGAAAGGATTGGGGGAGGGCCTAGGTTTATCGGATTACTGGAAATAATCAATGTGAACCGGAATTTAGAGCAAAAGTCTGTTATTGGTTTGAGGTCTCTTCTCTGACACATGTCTTCGATTGGTTGTTTGCGAGCTCTAGCCACTCACAAATTTAAATGGCATTCGCTATACGTTACCCATGGAACACTCTCTCCAGTCGCTTGTCATAAATTCCATTGTGCATGTTTTGTTTTTGATATATCTAACTCCATCACTTAGTTTTTATTTTTGTTTTTAGACGCCAAAAACTGCTGTCGTGGCTACGAGCGAATCATGTGGATGTCAAGGAATGTGATGATGGTTCGTTGCTGATTTTCGGAGCCGCTCGTATTCAGTCGCCATTCACCGAAGACAGTTGCTATTGTGATAATACTATCGTACTGAAACGATTACGTGCTTTGGTTGGCAAAGTGCCAAAATGATCTCACTTACTAATTTAATTTGGATTTTTTTCACTATTCCTCAAACATATAATCTACAGCGGAATAATAGGGGAACAAATGTTTTTTTTGTTCTCAATATTCATCATGATGATCATCTGCTTATTAAGCATCCCGACCGCAATACCTGTTCCTATCCAAGAGCTTCTTTGTAAATTTTTATGTTTATGCAACCTCCTTTTCTTACTGTGCCTTTGTATAAATTGAATAAAAGCCTCTCATCCTTGGGTGGTCCATTTGAGGTGTGCGCCACGTATCCGACTATTCTTAAGGTCCTAATGTCATCTGAATGTGTATTTGTTTAGAAAATGAACGTTTGTCGTGCCTTCGCTTCTCGCAGCTACACGGACGAAACAGATGTCCGTTACGTTCCGCCATGCTGTGGGCGACTACTGTATAACCAGCTGAATAGCAACAGTCGGGCTTCACTCTCCTCACTCGCCTAATTCGCCCACCTCATCGTTCAGTGCATAGCCGATCACGTAGCCCCACTATCTAGCCTGTCCCTGTAGCCTTCCCCTATCTTCTTTATACTTTTGAGTAATATGGAGATAAGCCCTAAAGTGCATACAGACATGTGTCAACGCCCCATGAGAGGACCCCCCCCCCCAACCCATTGCCCCTTTCGCTGCACCACTGAGGAACTATAATAATATGATACGTTCCTTCACAGAGTTCTTCGTCGCTATCAGATGCCGAATCTCTCCTCGGCATCTTCCATAATAAACAAAAAACGCGTCGATTACGTTTTCACCCACTCTTTCCTCCCACATGTCACCGCTAACAGCAGCCTACGCCGCCCATATGTGTAACGTGCTATAGCATTCCACCGAGTATAAGGCACACAATAGGAAATCCTCATTTAGGAGCAACTGGGATAGCCGTGTTCTGTAGGATGGTCCATAATTTTTAGCGAAAACCTTGAATAGTAGGTAACGTTAGTAAAGGTTTAATGCATATAAGTCCACCTAGCCCTTGTAGGAGAAGCATCGAGAACGTTCTGCAAACTAGTAGAAGGTCCTCGAAGATCTCCCAAAGCCCGCGGAAGGTGGGGACAATCACCAATGCAAATACGTATGCACCAATGCGGATCTCAATTTAGTATATCGTACTGGTAACCCCATCTGGTCAACCAATGTTCCCATGTCGGGGCTGAGTTGCACTCAGTGGGAGGAACACTTATCATTGTTGGAAAGAGAGAAAGCAGGCTGTTCAAGGTGCGGGTCGAACATCAGAATTTCGAGAGCATGGTAGCCTTCGGAATATGGAGAGTAGGGCGCAGTGGAGAGTAGCGCCACTACTGCACGCATAGTCATGCGATTGAACTTCGTGCCGAGTTTTGTCAAAATCGATCATTCTCCGAAACGCACCAATTGGAAAGTGCATTACTGACATGTTCACCACCTCATCATCGTAAACCCCGTTCCACTAACTGTATGAATACTTTCAAACATCTAAGAGCGAACGTAAAATGCATGGCTCAACCACGATTCCTATACTTGAATATGTAGCGGACTTAAGAATGTTTCTGTAGAGAAGAATAAGTATTTATATAAGTTTATTATACAACTAAATTACAAAAGGAGAATACAAGAGAGGGACAGGAGGAGAGGACAAGACGAGAGGGCAGGTAGTAGCCTTGACGAAGGGTCGGGGTTAGCCTGGCGGCTAAGATGACATCAGAGACCTCAACTCCATAAGGCGGCTCCTTTTATACTGTGTCTCCTGATGGATGTCATTACATTCTCGTACGTATTGTGGCGAAGCTGATGAAATCCTGGCGGCTGACTCGAGCCTACGCATTTCTCGACACGGCTGTCTCGAGCTGACGCATGACTCGACATCTCCATTCCTCACAGAAAGCTCGTCCTCGAGCTTTGAAGACCGTTCCATATAACGTTAAGGGTGAAAATGTAGTTGAGGGGGGGGGGG